GGCGGCCGGAGCGGGGCCGCGGGGGGGTTTTGTTTCCGTGAGGGAGTGTTGCCAGGCGCCTGGGGAGGTCGGTAACCGACCCTTTCGTTCCTAGAACGAGGCTCGCAAGCTGAATCACCAAGAAGTGGTGGAGGAAGATAAAAGACTTAAATTGCCACCAAACTGGGAAGCCAAAAAAGCTCGGCTGGAGTGGGAGCTGAAGGTGGAGGAAAAAAAGAAGGTAAATGGATATCTGCAGCTTTCCGTAGGCCTGCTGAGCCCCCTTCGTGGGGGCTAAAACAAGCTTGGGAACTCATACAGACATTACCCCCCCCCAAACCCCGTCTCCTAATTCGACTCCTGGTTATCTAAGTTGTTGTCCTGCCCTAGAGATTGTCCAGACTGATCCTGGTTCTAGCAAAGTTTGGTGCTCGGGCGTTATCTCCTTGTTAAAAGGGCGGTGTGCTTTGTGCTGCATTAGGAATGCGCAGCAAGGGGAGAAGACTACGAGCGAGTTAAACTGCTAGAGATCAGCGCCGAGGACGCTGAGAGATGGGAAAGGAAAAAAAAGAGGAAAAATCCAGATCTGGGATTTTCAGGTAACATTTTGTCTTCGTAATGAACGCCTATATTAGCATTTCAGCTGCAAACTGAATTGCACAAAAAGAAAACGCCTTCACCTTTTCTCTCAAAGATTATGCAGCTGCTCAGCTGCGCCAGTACCAGCGGTTAACCCGGCAGATCAAACCCGACCTGGAGCAGTACGAGAAGCTGAAAGAGCAGTAGTAAGTTCTCATTTCGGTCATCTGAGATCGTTTGTGGTATTTCTGTTAATAGCAAACACGGAAAACTTAAACTAATCCTTTCAGCAAGGGCATCTTCTCCTATATCCAGTAATATTAATTAGGCTTTAACACAATCTTAAAAGGCACGGCCCAGTAAATCCTCTCTGCGATCCCTGTGCCGGTTGGGAAGGGGGGCAGCGGTGTAGTCGATGAGGTTCATTTCTTCAAGCTTGGCATTACAGAGCTTGAAGAATTATCTTGTCAATGAGGTTGTGTTTAAATGCGCACGTAGATAACGGGTTTCTCAGAGGTTTGGGGGCTTTTTAAGCAGCCCTGCAGGGTTTAAGCACAGCTGGGTGAGAACTCACCAAGTTTGCATTCAGACCCATTTAGAATGCCAGTGGGTTTCTGTGTCTGTCAGTTAAGAGCTTGGGTTTAGTATCAACATGTTCACCCCTGAATCTCAGTTTGAGTTAAGCACCTCGATATGTTAAATTGAGAACCCAACAGAAGCAGTGAAAGCTCAAAGCCATCAACAGTTGTGTCAACTGCTGCTCTTCTGTTACTCTTGTCCAGTGGCGAAGCGCTTTATCCCACATCCGACAGTCTTCTCCACGGGACTCACGTGCCGTCAAAGGAAGGGGTCGATAGGATGGTTGCCGATCTTGAAAAACAGTGAGTAAATACGAAGCTAAAACAAAGCCGTGCGTGGCCTAGAGCAGCTTTGCTATCAGATCCACGGGATTCACCCACGCTCTTCAAACGCTGCTCTTTTGTCTTACAGAATTGAGAAGCGTGAAAAATACAGTCGAAGGCGTCCTTACAATGATGATGCTGACATCGACTACATCAACGAGAGAAACGCCAAGTTCAACAAGAAGGCGGAGAGGTTCTATGGGAAGTACACAGCCGAGATCAAACAGAACTTGGAGAGAGGAACAGCTGTCTGAACCAACGCCTCCAGCTCAGCACACATGGCAGCCCTGCTACACCTGGTAAAGCCTGGTATAGAGTGTAAGTTGTATCAGAAAAATACTCTGTAGACCTGATTGAGTTGTAAAATCAAAAGTGTATTTAGTATAATAGAGGTAATTTGTGTAATGACTTCAGCTGTAGATAGCCTTTACTGGCAGATGTCACCAGCTGGTGCAATTTTATGTTCTAAATAAACACATTTGTCACTCACTTGGAGTAAAGCTCCTCTTCATCCTTCAGCAGCTGACAGCAGGGCCGAGCCCCTGCACACACTTGTTGGGCAGAAAGATGACAGAACACTTGAAGAACACAGCTGGCCTTCCCACCAGGGAAGCTACCCCAGCCCTCTGCCCCACAGGAGCACACAGCACCCGCTCCTCCTCTCCAGGGGAGCAGGGGCCACTTCCAGCATTAACTCAGTTGCCACAAAATACAGAATCCTTAGCACACCTGCCTGCCTTGTCTGAGCAATTCAACAGCTTCTTAAAGAAACTTCCAGACTGTAGGTGTCAAAGTCAGTTTTACCAGCCATTTATTTTTACAAAAAAAACCACCGAAAACCCCACACTACTCCTTTACCTGCCCCCCCCAACCATCCAACAGCCTCCTGAGTCACTTGCAGCGCTTTTCTTCACCAAGGTCACAGTGAGCCATGGAGCCAGGAGTGCTGCACTCTGAATTCTGGAGCTCTGGACACTTATAGCACCATAGAATCACAGAATGTTTTGGGTTGGAAGGGACCCCTAAAGGTCAATTTGCTGGCTGCCCTACACAGCACACCTTTCAAGGCTGTTTTTAAACCTAAACCAAAACACAAGCCAGCAGGAAGTCAGTAGAAGTGACAGCTGCTCAGGTTCAACACTTTCAACAGTGAGACCAGCAATGGCTTCGCAGCAGGCAGTCAGGCCCACATCCAGCACAAGCCTTCACCTGCAGAGGGGTACCTGGGGAAGTTGCTCTGAAAGCCCCCAACTAGCCCCAGCCTGGGCAGGAACCATTCTGATGGAAAGGTCCACTGTCAGAATGATGCAAAAATTCTCTTCTGGTACACTTCGTGGTAACAGTAGGGTTAACAAAGCTAAACCTGGAAATAACCAGGACAGTCAACTTACTACAAACACAGGTCTAATACTTCATCACACATGGAGAAGCCAGTGCAAAACTAAAGTTTATTTACTTGAAGTAAACAGTTACACAATGTAAATCAAGTGTTCAAAATAACAGCTACTGAGCTATTGTTTAGAAAAGGTTACCCACCTGTAAGTTCTAGTCCATTAAAGCAATACAAAAATATTTACAAATATACACAAGATTCCCATCTGTGGCTTCTGGATCACTGTGCTCTAGATCTGAAAGAGAAACCTAAGATTCCAAAATTAAGATCTCAAAATAAATACTGAGTATTAACAAGTCTTCAATCTGATCAGAAAGTGTCAGATGTCACTACTGAAGTATGCATAATGCTGCAGTCAGAGTGAGAAAAGTAAGCTAGCGTGCCCGGAACGGTGCACTTTTAGGTGAGAAGTTTAAAAATGTTTTCTTCTCCTCCTTCTTGACAGGAACCCATTGCCCATAGGGACTTCCCTTTCTGTCCTCTTCTCTTGCTGGAGAAATTGCCGGTTCTTTAACAACATGGCTCACTGGCTTCTGTAGTACTGGTTTTGCCATTGTATTCTGGAAAAAGAAATTTTCTTTAAAAATGCTAGAATGAGAAGGAATGTGCTAAGACCTGTCAACTTCAGTCTGTGCTGGTAAGACAAATGTTCTCCTTCCAGCTCATAGGAGACCAGAAGCCTACTGACTATCAACCATGTACACTTAATTGACACAGGATTCAGGCAAATTGCTTTTTAACTTAGTTCTGCATTGTATTAAAATAAATTTAAACATGGAACTTGAAATAAATTGTGGTGTAAACTAGTTCCGGTGTACCCTTTTGAGTCTGTAGTACAGTACAGGCATTCACTGTTATTGAATGCCGAAAGGTAAACATCCATTTTAAACACACTGCTGTCACGTGTTTACAGAGCTCTGCTGCTGATCTAACTCCTCCAGGAAAGGAATTCTCAAACCATTCAATTCAACCTGTTGCTATTAATAATCGCTTTAATCCAGCAAGCAACACTGGGAAAAGCCTAACCCAGGAGGGATGAAGCACTGGGCTTCCACCCTGGGCAATCACACTTACATTAGGACTGAAAGAAATGCTTCTCTGTATGGTTGCTCTCTCCATTCCGCTCTTGGTCACATCTTCTGCAAGCGTTCTGGGTTGCTAGAGAAGAGCACACGCAGCTTAAGTGGGAGGATACGTTATTCCGCGCAAGTTAAGGCAGTTACTAGAGAGCATGAACTTTCTGGTCAAGTTGTTTCAGTTATTTAACATCAAAAGTAGCTGTACGCTACTAACTATGCAAACAGATGAATGTTGAACTCAATTTGAAAAACATCCAATGTTTTTATCAATGTTATCGAGCCAATTCACACATGGCCTGACATCCATGCCCCAGTTAAATTTTAAAAAGGATTCAAACAATCCAAAGCACGGACCACCTTACAATGAAGGGTAGTGGTAGAGTAAGTTGCATTAAGTTCTGCATATCCATCCTGCAGAGCTTTGGATAATGACAATAAACTTATCTGCAAGTGATGCAGGCCTCTTCTTCTGTACTCTCTCAACATCTGGAATATATTGCATATATTATGAAAGGGATGCCTGTACCATTTGTCTAAAACCCTTAGTAAATTTACTTCCATTTGACATAGCAGTATCTGATCGATGTAACAGTTATTGCAGTTTTGTATTTACCACGAATCAGGTTAACGCACCATAACAACAGAACCAAACTAAAATTCAAGTTCAGTTTAAGCTGCTCAAGTTTCTCCCTCCCTTAAATTCACAGCAGCTATAGCCCACAAGTCCCTTCATTACCAACAGATTTTCTTCATCATGTCTGGAACCATAGTCATGATTTCTATAAGACAGAAATAAAGTATGTAAAATGCATTGTGTGCTTGGGTATGTAACTTCTGGGAAACAAGTTTGTTGCATATGAAAAGCTTTTAACAGTTAAAAGGGGTAGAAAGATTGAACCTTTAAAAAAACCCACGCTATTCACTAGGTTTGGTAAGGAGACTCCTTGGTTTAGGTCAGAAACACATGAACTAGTCTAAGTAACGGGCAAGAGGAACAACTCAAAAGAACAAACTACGTTCACCTCTCCTTCCCAACCTACCACTGCTGGAAAGCCTGCAGGTACTCAGTGGCCAACCACCTCTTAGGAGTCCGCAGTACTTTCCACTTAACACAAAGGCTACAGTGGTTTCTAAAAGTAGATTTTAGCGTTCTGGTAAATCTCAAGTTTTTGTTCAAGGGTTTGAATTCATAATCAAACACGCCAGTTAAAAACTGTAACACATCCATGCAGATGACAAGTTTTAAAAAAAGCATTTACCTTTTCATTGAGAACACTCCAGCTCATACTTACCTCAGCTGACTCGCCAGGATCTTCACGCTCTTGGTTTTCTGTTTTTCTCTCTTTGGAAGGAGTAAGGATCTTCAAGCTCGCTGGCAAGACTATGTTATCTGTTCCCAGAGCTTTTGCAGCATTGGCTTTTGCAATTTCCAGTAGTTCCCTCTTGTCTAGAGGAGAAAAAAAAAGTGCCATTCTCTTATGCGTAAATCAACACGAACCTACTCACACAAGCCAAAAACCTACAGCATTACTATCAGTGCATGTATGTAAGCATCAACTGTGATTGGTTTTCCTCAATACTTGGGAGATTTAGCTACAGTTGAAGTGCAAAGAACATACTCTAAACTTTTTTTTTTATAAATTTTTATAACCACACAGAGATTTTCTTCCACATTGCCATTGTCAGTTATGAGCTATAAAGCAAGTAAACAGATGACAATTTGACTGACTGGTAAAAAATAAATATAAACCGTATGTTTTGAGGTTCTTGCACAATAAAAGTCTCCAAAAAAAAAAGGTACCTTTTTCACTCAAATGGAGAGGTGACCTACTCCGAGATCTTGTCCGTGACCTGCTCCTCCAGCTCCTGTAAGCCTCAGGATAAATTGTTCGCCCAAATCCGTAATATCTTCGGCCTCTCGAACGCGATCTGCTTCTCGAGTAGGACCTTCTGTAATACGATCTTCCACGAGACCATGACCTACTGCGCGATCTGTACCTCGGAGGAGAGCGGTGGTACCTCCTGTAGTGTCTGGCACGGTACCTTCCTCGGTATCTCGTGTAACCACGTGATCTTGACCGGCTTCTGGAATACGAACGAGAGTATCTTCTGTACCTTCGAGAACCATTTCTTCTAGCCCGTGACCTTGATCTGGACCGGCTCCAACTCCTGGAGGAAGCTGAAGAGGAACTACTTGAACTGGACTGCGAGCTGCTAGAGGATCTGCTAGATGACCTTGTTGACGACCTGTCACAGCTTCTCTTGGATGATCTCAGAGATGACTCCCTCTTCTTCGGGGAGCTGAGGGTTAAGTCGTCCATGAAGTCTGTCATATCATCAGTTTTCCTAACCACCGTTTTCTCCACGCAGGTACTTTCAGAAGCTGGTTCCGTTTTTATTGTTGTTCTGTTATACCCGGTCTCTGTTCCTGTTGTGAGTGGGGAGGGGGAAGCTAATCATTTACTTGCATCAAGTCATTTATACAGCAACAACAAACATTATGACACACAGGCAAAAAGTTCAAGGATAATTAAAACACACCAACAATTCTCAGCCAGTTTCTCAGCATGTTTTGCACATGACAATTTTAAGTTTCATCATTTCCTCTTTTGTAGTCAGTCTTCTATATGAATTAAAAAAAGGCTTCAGTTTCAACCACAAGTAGTTCTGTGTGGAATTTTGAAAAGAGGTTTATTTGTTTAATACCCTTCATTTGCTAGGCAAACACATGCCTTTTGTGAAAAGGACATGAGTTAATACCTTCCCCCCCAACAGAATTTTCAAGGTATTTTATCTTAGATCTATTCTAAATGCAGCAAAATAACCATTTGCCTTCCAGATCTGTGATAGTTTTCTTCTGCACGGAAGTTAAGTTTTAGTGTTTTCCTCCAACGGCAGAGCAGGGGGGAAGTACCTTCACAGGGTACAAAGCAACCACTTCACGATCTTGACCGTATCACAAAACTATCTGCAGAAAGTTCCACACATCCCAGCAGTGCAAGTAGCAAGCTGCTATTAAAAATATTCTGTGTAACTAATGAAAAATACAGCCACTGGATATGTGGCTCATTGTAAATGATGTAACACTTGCTGTGGTTAAGTATTAATAATTAAAATGGCTGTCCCTCTAGTGGCAGCCATTTTATATCTACAAAGATTACAGTCTTATATCTAGGGTGGAACTATTTTATCACCAGTACTTAAACCCCGAGTTATGTCACCACTTCACAGTTTAAGAAGCTTGCTTTATCACAAAATTTCTTTTCAGTGCTCACTGTAAACCAAAGTTACCAAGTAAATCTTAAAACCTTACTGAAATCGATCAAGGGTATTAAGTTCTACACGAATTAGTAAGAAGCATTCCCCTTGCTACTACTGAAGTTTCACCACCTCACCTCTAAACAAGGACCAAGGTCACAAGCGCCGTACAGGGCACAGCTAAGACGAAACAACTGATTAACTCTGATGCCAAACACCACCCCCACCTCCCACCGCTAAGCCACCCAGACATCACCGTTTCCCACAACGTACGTGCCGGGCACCACCCGCCGTCACACAGCGGCCTTCACCTGGCAAACCGCGCAGAAAGCACGGCCCCCTCCGCCCGGGCGAGGGGGATTCAACTCGCAAGCACGGGAATTCCCCTCGGAGCCTGTTCACGGGCACTTACCGCTGGGAGCCGCCGGACACCCCCGGTGCTGGTTCCCGTGAGACACCGAGGCGCTTCTGTAATAAAGAGAAACGTGAATAACGCGTGTCCCGTCCCGTCCCCCCCCCCCAAAGGCACG